TCATCGTCTATGTATGATGAGAGCCTTATATGTGGGTGTCTACTCGTGAAAGCATCAAAGGACTCCAACGCATATACCTCTACAAATGCATCGATAAAAATGCCGCCCGCTGGTACTCCGCTGCACACGAAATACGCCACTGGGTGAAAGGCAGAACCCAGTCTAACCAATCTAAGGCAACGCCACAGGTTATCCATAGCCTTCACAATGACTTTAGGAATGCCGTGCTTGCACGCCCGATCCCGCAATGGATCGAGTTGGGACGGCTCATAATACTTCTTACCATCCCAGTGGACCCCAAAGATAACCTGATCTTTCGCGTGGGCGACCTCAGATAGAACTGACTGGGCCCATACCCAAGATTCAGCACTCTTGCCAGCTCCGAAGGCCCAGACGTCCCTCTGCGCAGCCTCGAAGAAGGGGCCCAGCTGCGGTCGGCGAAGCCTCTCCCACACTCTCACAAAACTGGCTAGCAACAAATTTGGGCGATGTCCTCCAGCTGGTTTGTCAATCAGCGGGAAGATCACCAACGTAACATGCCGTGGGAAGAGCCCATCCACTGCTTCGTACACCACAGCAAGCGTAGCACGGCCTGCATCGCCCAGCACACTTATGTGCCTGGGGTGAAAGCCGTCTAGAGTCGACGAAGCGTGCTGGCTGAATCTGCCTGCCGCACTTCGGATCTCTCCGATAGTCGCACGATGAAACCATTCACGATCAGGAACTTCTGCCACAGGAGGTTGGCAGCTGGCCTGCCATTGTATCTGACGGGCTTCTGCCTCAGACGCTAAAACATCATCGGGGCTGCTTGAGAAAATACCTGGCGCACGCTCAACAACACTAGGGGCCGTACCTTTTGAAGTCGAGTAATATTATGCATCATCTTAGCTGAGCCCTGGAGTGCTTGATCACACCATTCGTTCCAAGACTGGCTGCGCAATTCATTCACCAGGGTAGTTGAGGCCCCGAATTCGACAGCAAGCCGATCACCAAAATACGATGCCTGCCCCCAACAAGGATGATCATGTTTATCAGGATATGCACACAAAAGATCTCGACAGGCCTTGACCTGAGCACCCAATCGAACAGCAAGCGCTTCACCTGGATATTCTTCAATCAGACAAGCCTGACGCAGGCTGAGCGCCCCGGGGTTAGTGGTCAAGTACGGAGATTCCTTAACCGGTGCTCCGAACTCATGCAACACTCGGTACAACCACTGCCATCCCCTGCATGTCTGCACCTGGTCGTCGGTGGAGAACTTTCTTCCCAAAACTGGTACCCGAGGTCTTACGAGGTACCGTGATCGTGTCAGCGTCTTGAGCGGGAAGCCCAGGAAATCTGAAACTTCCATCCCAGCATCCTGAAGAAAGATCGTCCAAGCGTAGTTGAGCTGTCGCCATGCGTTTCCATCAGAACAATACTCGGCAGAGTAAACCGCTTGATCTGCAAGAGCTCGGGCCGCCACATATAACCTAGGTTGCCTGCGAGGACCATGCGGTGGCAGCACAGGCAAACGAGCATGATAACAATATACCAACTGCCGAAGAGCCAGCGCTCCTGGGCGAAGGTGGAGTCGCACAGGCTTGCGCGTTCCACCATGCCATGACTGAAGCACTCTGATCTTATCCACCAAGCGAACCACATCGTGAGAGCACAAGGAATAATCCATCGTAGAGGCCGTGCTCGACATAATGCATGTATGTCTAGTAACTAGCAGGGGCAACTGCAATGAGTCCAGCCTTTCTCGTGAAACCTGGCTCTCCGATAGCTTGGGCGTCTACATTCCAATCAGCACCGCGCAAAATGGATCCATGTACCTTGAAAATTCTACTGCCTAGAACTTTCAGGATGTGCATATTAGCCGCACCAAGCCCCACCGCCGTGCACATGTATGCCGAGTATACTGTTAGCCCGGGCCGCCCAGGAATATCTACTTTAACTGACATCAGGCGACCCTTAACCAACTCTCCACCATCTGGGTTCCAACGAATGCCAACGTGTTGCTTGACGAAGATTGCCACAGCTGCAAAGGAAGACCCCCTCTGTCGTGCAAACGAAGGGCTGCACACAACTCGGTATCCTAGTGCGCGCGCCGAACGCTGGAAGTCTGGGGTGTCATCAACCGCAGTGCCCATCTCTTGGACACACACAATCAGAGAGCCGGAAGTCTTGAGCCGCTCCAGCAACGTCCATGTGCAATTGCCGTTGAACGACTCAAGATACTGAAACTCATCAGCCGAATCCCGCGCACCATTCGTTGCACCGTCTCTCGGTGAATCCTGGCAAGGCTCGTTTTTCGCTAGCCGCGTGCGGAAGAAACTTGGGGACGAGAGCGGCGCTTCTGGAGCGCCGCAAAAACTTGAACTGCCTTTGCGTTGCGGCACCACCAGGCCTCGAGAAGAAACAAGCAGGCCACATAGACAAACATGGTAATATTTACCCTGGCTGCTGGCCAGGCTCTTGGGACGCTGCAAGGCGAGGGCGTTTGACTCCCATCTCCTGCAGCTTGGCCTCGAAGACTCGCTTGTCACCCTGCCCGCCTGTAGCCGCGAATAATCGGTCCACACCCTCGGCAGAGAGACCATCCATATCCGTGGCTGAGTCGCCATCACCTTCTGGAGCTGCAGCTGGCTCCGCTGCAGGAGGTGTGGCCGAAGGAGACCGCGACCTCGTAGCTTCCTCATACAATTTCTTGAATTGTTCGGACGCAGGATTCTGTACCATCGCCTTGACCTCTGGGTGCGCATCGAGCACCAGTTGATCGAGAGAGAAGTCGGGCACTGGGGAGCATCCCGCATCAGGCATGGCACGACGCAGCTCTTCTCCAAGCGCAACAACCTCACGCTGAAGAGTGGCTTCCTTTTCCTGCAACAGAACCAAAGCTGCTTGAGCATCACAAATAACCTTCTGTTGTGCGTCCACAGATTCCTTGGCCTTCGACAACTTCTTCTCTGCGGCCTGGAGCCTGAAGGCGAACGTGGTGTGCTGCTGTAAAACTGACTTCTTGTCTCGCATATCTTTGCGTGCCACTCGGAGCTGCTCGACGATGCACTGCTTGGCGGGGTCCGAATCATCGACATCTTTGAGCTGGCCGAGGGCGTTCTCCAGGGATTCAATCCTGGCTGCCTTGAGCTCGTCATCAGAAGGAGGTGCATCGTGGCTATCACCAGCAGGGCCACCATGAGGGATGTTCGACGAACCACAGCCCCTCTCCTTGATCACATGCTTGACCTTCTGATCGAACTTTTTGTCCAGTGCCGCCGAGATCTGAGAAATGAGGTCAGCCTGCCCTGGTGGGCCCTTAGCCCACTGTCCTGCAGGAAGCTTCGCTGAACTCGTACGTGGCTGAGACAAATACTCTTTCTCACTCTTGCGCGCCGCCTGCACCACACGCATAGGAGCAGGAGCGCCACAAGCACACTTGATATGGCAAGCCCAGTTCGCAGTACGAGTGCACCGCGTACAAGACCAGAAAGGCAATCAAGCGCCTCGCAATGCGGAACCATCACCTGACATCGCTGGAGGTCAGTGACTGAAACTGTGCCAACGTTGGCCCGCACTAGCGCCGCCACTTCGAAGACGGTTAGTGCAAACTCGAGCTGAGGAACTTGTCACCTGAATCAGCTCGAGCCGAAATGGCTCCCAAATGTTCCGACTTCCGCAGCGGCTGGGGGAACACAAAGTCCGGTAGCTTGGCCAGACGTCAGCCCAACGTTTGGCCGCATGGACTTTGGAGCATGCGCTCCAAAGTCTGGCGCATGGACACGAAAGTCTTGCAAATCAACGCTTGGCGTTTGGAGTGCAAGACTTTGGAATTTGCGCTGGCCCTTCCCATAAAGCACAGGTCGTCTTCGCCCCGATCCCCGAAAGTGTACAAAGCCATCCTGCCAGAAGACTGAGATGGACCAAGATGGCTTCAAAATTGGCCGATGATGTATCCAGGTTGGCTCCCAGCAGATTCCCAGGCCACGAAGATGGCACCAAGCCCACCAAAGATGACCCCAAGAGGATCCAAGTGGTTATGTGGGGATCTGTTGGGCCGTCTTGTGGGCCCGCGGGGTCAGCCCAAGAGGTCCAAATCCTTCAGCAACGAAAGCTTATTCTACGAGTTTCGGGTTCTCGACTGCTCTCTTCGGAGAACTTCCAAGACTGCCAAAGCAGCCGCAAGACCAGCCCAAGGCGGCCCGCATGTGCCCCAAAAGACCCCAAGACGGCGCGACAGAACCCAAAAGCGGCCTTACAGTGGGGGCTCGGCCACAAGAAACCTCCGCAAGAAGCCCAACCCTGAAATCCGCGATTTGTTCAGTGAAAACCAAAATTTGTCGATCGAAAGACGTCAAGATCCTATCGGGGGCCCATCGAAATCTAAGAAACCCAGGGCACCCCAGCAAACTCCAACTGGTTTCTCGGCACATCCCCCACTGTACATGCGTCTGGCCCCCACTGGAGGCACCCAAGACGGCCCGGAGACCGAAAGCACGGCCTCTGAAGGCGCCAGCTTGCCCAGCGCCGCCCAGAGACGGCCCCCACGAGCCCGACGAGGGCCCACGGCTAGAAGCCTCCTAGATGGGGTCGGAGCAGATGGGGTCGAAGGATCGCGCCGCATCGCCAATGCATCGCCGATGCACCGGCGCTGCATCTTCGACGTCGGCGATGCGTCGGCGACATCGACGTGAAGCAAATCAGTCCCCACATGGAGCCGCATTGCCGATGCATCGACGACACTGCGCGATCCTCCGACCCCATCCACTCGGGCCCCATCTAGGAGGCCTAGAAAGGCGGGCCCAGGCGGCCCCCAAGAGTACCCGAAGGCCAGAGCATAGCAAAGGAACCCCCAGGGACGACCCCCGAGGGCCCCTCCCCAGCATTTTCCCCCGGTGGTTCTCCCGACGGCTGAGGAAACAAAGAGTCCGCCGGCGTGGCCGCACGTTTGCTCAACGCGGGCCCGCCGCTTCCAAAAAGGGGGAGCGGCGGCGGCGCGCCGTAGGCGTCTCCGCTACAACACGAGCCCAGCAGGCCTCCAGGAATTGACGGGCGGCGAACGGTATACAGTAAACGTGTTCGCAGTCGGGGACGCTTGTCCAGTGGTTATGTCGCCGCGGAGCAGGCAGGCTGTTAAAATTGCGGCTGTGTTCAAGACGACAGAAAAGGTATGAAACAAGCACAAACAAATAAAACATGTACGACATCGCGAAGCTGGCGAAGTCTGAGTATAAGCTTGCCCGAATTCGAAAGTTCGGAAGAACGGTGCCCTGATTCGGACACTTGAAGGAGGAAATTGAACCAGCTCGGAAGAAACTAGCCTGGATCAACAAGTGTGACAAAAATACAAACCAACAAAACGAACAGGAACAGTTAGAGAGCATGGAACATACGACCGCATCTGGGCGTTCGGGGAAAAAACGCCTAGATTAGAATATTTGCCAACACGAACTGAAGACACATTGTAAACCTAACTTGAAACAGTACACCCATACTTGGAGAGTTGGAAAAGATTGAACACACGTGTGTAAGAAGTACGCTTGGATTTGGACGCTTGAAAATTAGACAAGCTATACCCTACTGCACGTCAGGGTATACATTGTCCAACCGCCGTGGGACAAGCGCCTCCAGCGACTGAACAGTTCATCTTACACCGCTCTTCGCCCGCTACAGGAAAAAGGGCGGCGGCCTACCAGCCTGCGACGCTGGCAGCCCCGCATCCCCAGAGAAGGCAGTGTTGTCCTCAGGAGCCCTTCCTCTTGGCCCCCCGCTTCAGGTGCTTCACGATCTTCCCTGGCCAGGGGCGGCGTCGAACGGGCAGCAGGGCGTTGGGGCAAAGCAGGAGGGAGCAGAGGGGGAGGAACAACAATGCTAGGTCGGGCCTCACCAAGAGAACGGCGCCCATGCAACGTACTTTCTGAGCGACGAAAAGAAAACTAGGACGAATCCAGGGCAATATTCAAATCGGGTGAGGATAGACCGAACATCTCTGATTTCAGGCGGCTCTGGTGGATGTCTCGGGCGCCGCGGCTTTCTGAGAACGTTGCAAAATGCTCTGAAAGCTTCCCCGAACGCTCCGGAACGCCTTGATCCTCGTCCGAGCCCCGTCCGGAGAACAGCTCTCACGCGGGATAGCATACCGACCCTACGCGGTGGCTAACGCGGGTCGACAAAACAGTGCGGCTCGCTACTTCGGAAATAAAGGCGCTTACGCGCGATCTTACGCGGGCAGTTTGCGCGCGAATGCCGGCGCAGACATCCCCCCCACGCTCTTGCGTCGCTCGTGTCTGGACTCCGCTCAGACAGTGCTCCAGTGCGGCTCGGTGCACACATTGTTCGGCCCTGGGGGCTGACAAAACTCTGCGCCACACCATTCCCGGGTCCTGGCCATCGCTCGGACGTCCATTCCCTATGTTTTTGTATTGTATCGTGCGTGTTTTTTCGCCAAGTGATCAAGAATGCTCCTCGATGGTCCTCGCAAAAGGAAAAATGCACACGTCCGAGCGATGCCAAGCGGTCGAACATCGACCACATCTCCGGAGACGCCAGCGCGCAACGGCGCACTTCCTCGGCAGGCGCCGGAGATCGCAGGCGTGGGGGGTCGGTGCCGGCGGGGACGCGCGGGGCGCGGGGCACGGCCCGATCCCGAAGTGGTCCTCACTTCAGCGTCCTGACGGTACCGAAGGGGCCCTGGGACACACAAATAATAATTATACATTCAAATCACAGGATTCACCATATTTTCCCATATGTTCTGGGTTCTTGTCTTCCCCCCACTTTCAATATTTTCCCATATTCTCTTGGGAGTCGACGATGAATTGTGTCTATGTGTTTTCTCCCCTCCTGATGTACCCTTGTATCCTTCCCGTCGGGCCCGTCATTTGCCCCTTTGGCTGGCCGCGCCCCGATAGAAAAATGCCGACATGGTTCTGGTTGACCCAAAAGGGGCTTCCAACTGAAACGGGGTGGCATAGATTCTGGGCAAATGTAGTGAATTGTATGGCAACTAATGCATTGCACGCGAAAGCGCAGCAATACATCTGCGCACTGGAATGTATTGCACGCCCCAAATCGGCTGCAACCGCACAAATCTATTGCACCAAATCTATTGCAGCACCCCCCTCTTCGCTGGACCCCCTTCTGGGTCAACCAGAATGGTGTTCCGAGGCTCCTGCATCCTGATCGTGCAGCCCCGCTGTACGCGATGATGATATTTTGCAGCCTCCGGGAGCCGGGGCCTCAGGACCGTCAGGAAACGCCTCGGGACGAAAAACCTTCCCTGGGGAAGCGGACCAGACCTCCAGGGGTCCACGCACCGAAAAGACTGGAGCGCCAGCTCTTTGGAATGCCTCTAAGAAAGAGACGAGAGAAGCTGCTCTCCTCGAGCCTTCGCTCCCCAGCGGTGACCCCTGCGTCGGAGCCTCATGTGGGACCCGCCCTGGGACAGGAACATACCGTAGACGGACCTACCCTTTCTCCGACCGTGTGTTGAGTCGAACGCAGCGGCCGCTCTGTCCATGGACGCATCCGCCCCGAAAGCCCACACACGTGACGACGCCCAGAGTGCGCGCAGACTCGGGGATCTCTGACTCGGGTCAATCCACACCAGGGTCAAACAGGCCGTACAGAATCCTGCAAGAGCCTGCAAGATTCTACACCCAAACCCGAGTCCATGCGAAAAATCCTACAAGATCCTGCAGGATCCTGCACCCAAACCCGGGTCAATGCGACCCTGGCCCTGCAGGATCCTGCAAGATCTGGCGCTCTGGCTGACCCCCGCTTGCATCGATCCCGTCTCAAGGCTCCCGACAGACGCTCGTGGCTAGAGTTAAGTCGGGCGTGTCCCCCTACAGGGGGATCTTCGACGACAAATTTAACATGTTCAAAACATGTTCCAAAATGGTCAAAACATATTGTAAACTTATCCCAGTGCGACCCTACCTAGGAGTTGGAGCCTCTAGGAAAGCAACATTAGTAGGAGAGGTAAACGCCGTCCTCCTCCTTCTCCTCATCGCTATGCTATGCTATGCTATGCTATGATATGATATGATGTGCTATGCTATGCTATGCTATGATATGCTGCGCAATGTTATGCTGGGCTAGGCTAGGCTAGGCTATGCTGTGCTATGTGATGCTATGCTATGCTGCGCTATGCTATGCTGCGCCATGCTATGCTATGCTATGCTATGGTTTTGCTTTGCCTTCGCTGTTGCCTTCACTGTTGCCTTTGCTTGTGCTTTTGCTTGGCACCCAGGGAATGCAACTGGGGGAACCACGCGTTTGCTTTTACCTTTGCTGTTGCTTTCGCTTGGGTCCCAGGGGACCGGGGGAACCGCCCGGGGCGCTTTCCACTGCCCGGCCCTTTAAGCAAAAAGAGTAAGAACCCTTCTAGGCAGAGCCTAGGTAGGGATGAAAAAGGTCCCTGGACTATCTTTTATATAGTTTTGCATACGTTAGTAGTGGAAACCATTCGTTTTCAAAATGCTTGATCTTTAGAAGCTCCGCGTGGCGGCGCCCCCGTCGCCACGCGCGCCCTCTTGCGTGCCTGCGGGGGCGCCGCCACGTGGAAGTACTGGAGGCCGAGCATTTCGGTCGTCGCCACGCACGCCCTCTGCGTGGCTGCGACCATTTGTTGAAGCCCCAAAACCAATTAAACTAATAATGATGGGACTGATTTCCACCACCACTACCATATGTTGGAGAAGGAGGAGGATGAGAAAGAAGAGGAGGAGGAGGACCTCCCCCTCCAACCTGTGGTAGTGGTGGTGAAAACCAAGCCCATCAAATAAAATAATTCCCCCCCTGTAGAGGGACAGGCCCGACTTGCGGCTCGAGCGCGCGGTGGCCTTCTCGGCCCCCGAGGCCCGGGGCCCCGCACCGTGACAACGAGCTCGGGGTGGAACCGTCCGCCCTGGGAAGGGTGGCCCAGCTCTCCCGGGGGTCCCGGCGCGCCAGGTGCTCGGAGGAGAAAGAGGAGAACGAGGAGGAGGAGGAGGAAGAGGAGGAGGAGGAGGAGGGAGGAGAATAAAGAGGAGGTGGAGGAGGAGGAGGAGGAGGAGAGAGAGGAGGAGGAGGGAAGAGGAGGAGGAGGGAAGAGGAGGAGGAGGAGGAGGAGGAGGAGGAGGAGGAGGAGGAGGAGAACGAGGAGAACGAGGAGGAGGAGGAGAAGGATGCCGTGGAAGCGATTGGAGCACCGGATACCTTGGAAGCTTGAAGGGAGAGAGAGAGAGAGAGAGAGAGAAGCCAGGAAAAGAGAAACTGCTCATGCCACGATTTCTTATTCGAGTCTCCTCTCTCTCTCTCTCGAGCGGTTGCCCCCTTCTCTGGCCTTCATGTGGGTCGCTTGTGGCCAAAAAACTGGTCTGCCCGCGATCCTCAATACAATCTCCCCGCGAATCCCCAATCTGCAAGCAACCAATCCCGATAACGAATCGCCAAACACCAAAGCATCTTCCCTCGAGCCGCGAGTCTTCAACAGAAGCTCCCCACCAGGAAAATCTCGAACAACTCTCCTCAGCGACCAACCACAGCAACGCCGCTGGCGGGCAGTGGGAGGCAGGGGGAGGAGTTGGCAAGAGAAAGGGCGACGCCAAACAGATCCTCCGAGGGCGGGGCGAACGAATCGACGCAGGTGATGATGACAATGATGATCATCAATATCAAACACAATCGTCACCAGTCAGCTTAATCAGCATCATCATCATCATCATCATGAACATCAGCATCATCACCACCATCATCACGAACAGCATCATCACCATCAGCATCATCGTCGTCGTCATCATAATATTCAGCCTCGTCATCAGCATCATCAGCAGCATCATCATAACAACTACCATCAACATCAACGTCGCCAATATCATCAATCGCCATCAAAAACCAACCCTCAACATCGCCATCACCATCACCAACATTAACGTCAACATCAATAACCATCGCCAACAATAATCAATCATCAACATTAACATACTAATCAACATCAACCTCATCATGAACCGTCAGCCTGGCCGCCATCATCACCACGACTTCCATCAAACAGTGATCCTCACAAGCAACAACACGAATATCAACGTAATCGGCCATCACAAACCATCCTTAATCATCAACATCCTCAGGACCATCACAATCAACATCACACCCACCATAACCAATTAAAACCAACACGATCATCACCATCATCATCATCATCATCATCATCATCATCATCATCATCAACCATCGTCGATCACCACTACCACCGTCAACATCAAAATCAGCATCATCATCAACAACCAATCAACAGCATCATCCTCAGCACCGCCATATACATCACCATCGACATCAGAAGCACCAGGAATCAGCGCCAGGACATCATCACCACTACTTGTCACCACACATCAACCATCAATCGTCAATCATTCATCGCGATCATCATCATCAGCAGCAGCATCAGCATCACCAGCATCACCCCCATCACCATCATCACTATCATCATCACCATCAACACCATCATCATCATCATCCTCAGCCTCATCCTCATCCTCATCATCATCACCATCGTCATCATCGCCATCATCAGCATCATCATTTCACCATCATCATCCTCATGGTCATCATCGTCAGCATCATCAGCATCATAAGTATCATCATCATCACCATCATCATCATTATTGTCATCATCACCATCATCAGCATTATCATCATCATCCTCATCTTCATCAGAATCATCATGATCATCATCGTCAACATCATCAGTATCATCACCATGACCATCACCATCAGCATCAGCATCAGCATCAGCATCATCAGCATCATCAGCATCATCAACATCATCAGCATCACCATCATCATCATCATCATCATCATCATCATCATCATCATCATCATCTCCATCTCCGTCACCATCACCATCATCATCATCGCCAGTGAGCCCCAGGGTCCACAATGGCCGAGCGAACGAATCGACGGCGCCCAGCGAACCTGTCAGCCAGCCGCACCAGGCGCCCGCTGCGCGAAGCACCCGGGCGGCCTCCGTGGCCCACGACCAGGGAAGGCTTCGGCCCGCAAGCATCAGAGATGAAGGCGCGGCCTTTGCATCGGGGGCGCGCGAACATGGACTAGCGATCCATGGATTTGGCGCGCGGCCGCCAAATCCATGGATCGGAGGAGGTGCCCTCCCCAAAACGCGGCCAGTGCCGCCCCGCTCGGCGGCGGAAGTCCGCGATCTCCCATGGAAACGGGACCCGTCGCTAATCCACGCCCCCTTGATCCATTGTTGCGATCGACCGATTGTAGCAGCTCTCACATATCTCGTCTTGATGTAAACTGTGTGTTCTCTGGGTCACGGCGGTGTAGTAGGCTGTGACGCTCGCCGCTCCAGGCGGCTCTCAGGCCTGGTGCTTCCGATTGGGGCGCCAGCGTGCGCGTTGGTGCTGTCCCGGACCATGCACTCGCTCTCTGTGATGCGTGCGACGTGCCTGTTTTGCAGACCTTGCAAACAACTCAAAAGCGAGCGTGTGCCAGGAGACGGAATTCTGCGGACTCTAGGAACGGAACCCTCGCCACTCCCTCAAGATCCTAGCTCAAAAGTTGGCTGCGCGCAGAGGGGGGCAGGGGGAGGGGGGAAGGCTTCTTAGAAGGAGGCTGCTTCTTAGAAGGCGCTGGCCCTACATCTACAGACGAGGCCCGCGCCGACGAAGAAGCAGGTGTGCTTCTAGGAAGCGCGCCTCCCTCCCCTTCCCGTCTGCGCATGGCCGAAGAAGAACACACGAAGCATCCAAGGGCGCCTAACTTCACGCTCTCGCGCCGCCCCCCAGAAGAGAAGAAGAGGGTGAGGAGGAATCGGAGCCGAACCGCGATTCGCGAAGGGCCAATAACTTCACGCCCTCGAAGGCGCCCTTGATCAAAAACCTTCAGAGGTCAGCACGGGGTTCCCAGGGTCGGCGCTGAGCCGAACGTGAGTCGAAGCCAGGCCGAGGATAAAATCGGGTGAGGATATACCGAGAATCTCTGGAGTCCTGCGGCTCTGGAAGATGTATCGGGCACCGCGGCCTTCTCAAAACGTTCCAGAACGCTCTGAGAGCTTTCCCCAACGCTCCGGAACGGATGTATCCTCGTCCTAGCCCCGTCCGAAAGCGTCAACTCTGACAGGAACGGGTCACCGAGACACTCGCCGTCGCTCGAACGCGTAATCGTGCGCCCGGCGTTATCTCTGCGCAGGCTAGGGGAGGCAGTCGAAACCCTCACGGCTCCGCAGAGCGGCCTGCATGGGTCTGGGGGGAAAGGGTGGATCCACGAGGAAACGCACAAGTCAACACCAGATCCACGCGTCCGAGCGAGGCCAGGGGACTCATCCTCCTTCTCCTCCTCCTCCTCCTTCGCCTCCTCCTCCTCCTCCTCCCAGGTCATCCTCTCTTCCTCCTGTGCGACAGCTCAGGAGGTCCCATCGTTTGAACACGTTCCCCATGCTTCATAGCTTTCACCATGCAACTGCTCATCCATCTCTCGGCAGACTCCTGCCGCGTCGCTACCCCGCCGCGACTGCATGGCTACTCCAGTGGCTGCAGTGCATCTGCGGGCCAGCAGTAAGGTAGCAGGAAGGCACAGCCTCATTGCCGCCATTGACTCACCAGAACAAAGAAACGCGTTTGAAATGGCTTGGTCTCAATCACGATCACGAGGCCCTGAGCGAATCGCCAACGGAAACGATTAACACGCCAGAGGGCCAGCGTTTGAGGCGAGGCAGCTCTTCGTGCCAGCGGTGATGGGAGTAGAGAGCAGCAGAAGGCGGGGGAAGCGGCCGCGAAGAGAAGGGAGAGGAGTTCCCGGGGCTTGAAACGACTCAGATATACAGCCAACGCCAGCATCAGGCGATCAGGTGCGAGGAGCGCTGGACCCCTGCGGGGATCGTTAACCTTGAACGTTCGGCCGTTTCCGAAACGTCAAATCGTTCAACATCGTCCGATGCTGGGTTGCCGGCGGCGTTCAACGTTGAACGCCGGCGGCAGGGGTCGCCGCCAGTCGACACGTAATTTAAACCTTGGCTTGCGAATGAATGCAATGCTGCAGGGTCGCCCTACTCAACATACTGCCTATTACTGTGAGCCTCGGAGACGGCAGCAGCGGCAAAGCACTGGCAGCGTCCTGTCTCGGGGTCGATGAAGCCGTGCGCGTCGATGGTGCACCCTGCCCTCGTTCACTTTTTGCCAGAAGCTGACTGGCTCCAAGTGTGCCCCGTGCGATTTCCTCCTCCTCCTCCTCCTCCCTCATTCTCCTCCTCCTCCCTCCTTTTCCTCCTCCTCATCCTCCTCCTCCTCCTTCTGCTCTTGCTCGTGCTCCTCCTCCTCCTCCTCCTCCTCCTCCCTCTCCTCCTCCTCCTCCTTGGGCGCTCGACATCCCTTGTCGTTGCGCGCGTGCGCTGCATTGGTTGCGTCTGCCATTGTGTTGTGTGCGACGCGAGCTCGAGCACCAGTCGGGCGTTGCGTTGCGCAGTTGCGTTGGCCGACGAACGCGCGGTCTGGGGGGGAAGGGGTGTGCGCGGGGTGCGTGGGGGGCGTGTGCTGTCCGAGAACCCACGGATTGGGTGGCGCAAACCCTGGCGAAAATCCGAGAGCCCGACAACCTCTCGAGTCGGGAGCGGCCAAGAGGGGGGTGTCCAAGAGGGGGGGGGTGCAAAGCATGACCGGCGGCATGTGCGCGGCCCAGCGGGGGGACCAGGGACGTAGTGAAATAAGAAAAGGCGCCATGAAATCTGGGGAGATATCATGGCCCCCGCCATGATATCCACCCCCCCCTACGTCATCACCCCCCTCGTTGCCGCCCCCGATCGAGGACTCGCTGACCCGTGTCCGCACAAACCCGGGTCAGCTATAGGGCCCTGTCGCGAAGCGGAGGGCCGGCCGCTCCGTCGCTCCGAAACCGGGGTCGGCGGAGGCAAGACGGGGGAAGCGGCCCCACGCGGCTCCCAAGCCCGCGTCAGCCAGAGGGGACTTCCTTTAAGAAAATTATCCCGGCAAAGCAACCTAACAGCGATGTGTATAAAGCATATCTGGAAGCATTCCCACTAAGATTCAGGTGAGAAACCAGTTGTAGAATTCTGCTGCTCTCGCAGTCGCAGTCGCATTCGCAAGCCAGCGGACCCACGCGGCTTCGAAGCCCGCGTCAGCCAGAGGGGACTGCCTTTAAGAAAAAAAACATAAACATAATTTGTCGGAGCTCCGCGCGGATTTCTCGGATCTGCGCTGGACACCCCCCTCCCTGGTGCGCGGAGCGCGCCAGGAACTCCGCGCGGAGCGCGCGGATCCAAGAGACCCGCGCGGAGCGCAAAAGTGAATGTGTATGACGTTTGTGTTCTCCTTCGATGGCTGACCCTCGTGAGCGCTGACCCGCATTGCGCGAGCCCCGAAGCTCCAGCCGACCCTGGGGGAACCAAAGGGTAATGAGACCGCTACTCCCTGGACCTCTCTCGCGGTGCGCTCTGACCAGAATCTGGCGACGAATCCAGCGGTGGCGACGGGGAGCCGCCCAGGAGGCCCCAAAAAGGAGAAGACCGAAGACGGGGTATACTTAGATCGGGCATGTCCTCCTACAGACGGATTTTGGACGAAAAATGTAAACAGTCCACCAATACCTTTATGCTAAAGATGAAAAGTCCACAGACAGAATTCCTCCTGTAGAGGGACATGCCCGACGTAAGGGTAGACGCAGCCCTCCGGCCGTTCAGTCCGCCCCGAGACAGGGCTGCCCTGCCAGTCTGCGGCCGTCCCTCCCGACGCGCGCATCGATGCCCGGGGGCGTCCACACCAAGGGGGGGGCGCGCACGAGGGGAACCGCAGGGAACGGCCCGAGGCACGTGCGCGGACGAAGGCAAGGCAAGGCAAGACTAGGCAAGGCAAGGCAAGGCAAGGCAAGGAGGCAACGAGGTCGAACGAGGAAGGGGCAAGGCAGCACGTGTCGAACGAGGAGGAGGCAAGGCAAGGCAAGGCAAGGCAAGGCGCCGACGTTCGCCCCGGGGAGGGGGGGGGGCCGCCCTCTGAGAGATCGGCGGGGGCGCCGGAGCGCCGTGACCCAGAAGTCGTAGTGCACGATTGCTTCAGTCCGAGAAGTTCGAATCGTGGACTCCGTTGATTCAATCCCTCCCTTCAGTCAGGCGTCTGAGGAGATGTCATGGTCCTGGCAGGGCTATCCAGCCCACCCTGGTTATCACCCCCCTTCCCTGACATCCGCCGGATATATATATATATATATATATGTACTCCGACCCACGGCGCCAGAGGTCCGACCGCTTTCCCGGGGGTAGTTTTCCGTCCCCGATCCACTTGTGAAGCTCCCGAAGCCAGAAACGCCCCTGGAGGGCAGAGATCGCTGCAAAAGGCTGGCTGGAAAATCAGATCGTCGGAGAATTGGAACATGGCCGCCCCCGAGATATGGATGCTGGGGGGCCCCAAGACCGTGCGATGACAGACCGCGTGGTGACCCGAAAACCCCAAGAGATCTCGCCCCGCGGTCAGTCACCGCACGGTCTTGGGACTCTGGAGGCCCGAGTCGCTCGAGACATCCTCGGAGAATGGCTCAAGTCCCAAAACCGCGTGGCGACCCCGAGCCCCCACTGACTCACCACGCGGCGTTGTCAACCACGACGTTTGCGAGAAGGGTGCAGGAGGCGGGCGCTTTAGGGAAAGGGGAGGGGTCCTGGACCCCGGGGTTTTTCCCCCTGGGGACGAGCTCTTCACCCTGAGCCGTGTTCTGGCAGTCCTGGGGCCCGTGGAGAACCCTGAAGCCCCCAAACAGATCAGAAACAACAAGCCAAATAACTAAAAGTAAGGAAACATCGAGCGACGATCTCCTAGACAGCCCACCCCCCTCCTCCTCCTCCTCCTCCTCCTCCTCCTCCTCCTCCTCCTCCTCCTCCTCCTCCTCCTCCTCATCCTCCTCCTCTGGACCCGCTTCCCTCGTGGCAATACCTGGGGCCGCTCCCAGGATGGCGCCATGTCTTTGGCCAGGCCGCCGAGCACCGCCCACGTAGCACCGCCGGCCGCGCCATAACGCCGCACGCGACCCGGGAATCCCTGCGGGTGCGAGGCCCGCTTCCACGGAAGGTCACCGCCGCGCCCGCCGTGCGGCCTCGCGGGCCCCCCTGGCCTGCTGCATCTGTGCAGCTCGGTCGATAGAGACAGGCCTTGAGATCCGAGGCCCTGCTCGGCTCCCCCCTGAGGAGGAGGAGGAGGAGGAGGAGGAGGAGGAGGAGGAGAATGAGGACGACGACGACGACAACGACGACAAAGGCAACGCCCGTGCCCTTTTCACCCATGCGCCTGCCTCGCTTCATGTGTTGCACCCTTCGCCCAAGTCGGCAGTACGACACTGCTCCGTGCCCGAAGAACGCCACAGGCTGTGCACCGAGAGTCCGCGCACAAGGAGGGCGACGACGACGGAAAGGACGATGTGGAACAGGAGGAGGAGGAGAAGGAGGAGGAGGAGGAGCAGGAGGAGGAGGAGGAGGAGGACGAGGGAGACGAGGAGGAGGAGGAGGCGGGGGAGGAGGATGCGAGCTTCCACATGTTCGCGCGGCCGAGACCAGGGCGCCTGGAGGAAGGTGGCGACGAGGGTCCCAACGCCCAACACAGGCAATCGGCACAGCGAGGGCCCGCTGCAGCGGGCCGAGGCCAGCAGAGTGCCACCCCCGCGGGGACAAAACGGGCGAGCCAAGAAGCCCACGAGGGCCACCCGCCCCCAACCCCACGCGCGGGGAGGGCGCCAGAGGAATCCGCAGCGAAACCAGCAGGCTCCCGGCCGCCCAACGCGCGCGGCCGCCGCCTGCTGCTCACGCTCGGAGCCTCCCGTCCGCGAGGCTGACGAGGAGGCGCCTCGCGACCGCCTTCTCGCCCTCCGAGGGCGAGGGGATGGCGGCGCCCAGCGCCGCCAGGAGGCCGCCCGCCCGAGTCCCCAGCGCCGACGCCCAGCCTCCCCAGGAGCGCCGACACCTCGGCCGCCTCGACGCCCGCGCCGCCACCGCCCGCGCGACCTTGGACCCCGCGACCGCCGCCGCCCCCGCCGATCGCCGCGCGGCCGCGCGCCCGTCGGCTCCAGCAGCAGCACCAGCCTCCGCGAGACGAGGGGCGACCCGACGTGCGTCGTCCGCCCACTCGTCATCCGCGTCGTCGCCGCAGGGCGCCACGCCGGCACCCGCCAACATCCGCCAGCCGCCGCGGCGGCAGCGGGCTCCGCGGGAGGCGCCACGGCCAGGCCAGGCCGCGGCAGGGGCCCCAGGCGCGCCAGCGCCTGCTGCCTTCCGCGCCGCGCGGCGCTGGCGGCGCCGTCGCCGCTTCGCGGCGCGCGCCGCGGGGGCGGCGGCCGCAGCAGCAGCAGCAGCAGCAGCAGCAGCAGCAGCAGCAGCAGCAGCAGCAGCAGCAGCAGCAGCAGCAGGAGGTACAGCGGGAGGAGCCACGCCAGCAGCCGCGTCATTCGGCGGCGGCACGGACGCCTCAGCGCGCTGCCCGAACAGCGCGGCCGAGACGGCCGACCGTGACACCGCGGCAGCGGTACGGCGCGGCGCCCCTCCCGGGACGGCGCCGCGCACCGCCGCCTCCACGAGCATGGCGGCGGCAGAGGACGGCGCGCGAACCCCCCTAGGCGCAGCCATCCCGCGGCGGGACGGCGGCACCGTGCGAACGCTGGAGCCAAAATGAGGAGGAGGAGGAGGAGGAGGAAGAGGAGGAGGTGGAGGAGGACGAGGGAGACGAGGTGGAGGAGGAGGACGAGGCAGAGGAGGAGAAGGAGGACGAGAAGGACGAGGTGGAGGAGGAGGAGGAGGAGGAGGAGGGGAGGAGGAGGACGAGAAGGACGAGGTGGAGGAGGAGGAGGAGGAGGACGACGACGACGACGACGACGACGACGAGGGAGAGGAAGACCAGGACGAGGGGGAGGAGGACGAGGGGGAGCAGGACGAGGGGAGGAGGCGACGACGACGAGGTGTAGGAGGAGGACGAGGGGGAGGACGAAGGGGTGTAGGAGGATGACGAGGGGGAGTAGCACGGCGAAAGCCTCGTAAAGGGCACGACCAAGCCACCCCTCGCAGCGGACGCCCGCCCCCAGAGATCCGAAACTCCATTTTTCCAGCCGAGAGACCAAAACATGTGCAATTGTGGGTACCGCAATTGTAGACATCGTCTGAGGAAGAAAGAAGAAAAAGTACCGATACCCGCTGACCATCCCACGTTTTCGCCGTTCTCGGCCGCAATTGTAGACATCGTCTGAGGAAGAAGGAAGAAAAAGTACCAATACCCGCTGACCATCCCACGTTTTCGCCGTTCTCGGCCTCCCGGGAGGCGAGGCCCGGGGAGTGGCAGTATCGGAACGGGCGGATGTCTCATGCTTGCGTCTTTGGTGGGGTTCCCTGTGGAGCCACGGGCCGTATGAAGGATGTGTCAGAATGGGCGCGGAGGACGCACGCGAGCACTTCCGCTGGGGCCTTCGGTAGAGCTCCCTGTGGAGCCACGAAGCGTGTGACGGGTGTGACAGTGTGCCGAATTTGGTGCAGGAGACGCATGCGAGTCTCCACTGCAGCCCTGGGTGCAGCCCCCGATGGGGCCACGAAACGTGCGCTGGGGGTGCCGAAGTGATCAGCAGAGACGCATGCGAACGGTGCCACTAAGACCTTCAATGGAGCCCCCTAAGGGGGCCTCGAAACGTATCCAACTGGGTGGCGGGAGCGCAAGTCAACGGTGCTACTGGGACCTTCGGTGGAGCTCCCTATGGGGCCACGGAACGTGCGAGGGGTGTGCCGAAACGGGTGGCGGGGACGTATGCGAGCGGTGCCTTTGGGACTTCCAGTGGTGCTCCCTATGGAAAAAGTGTGAGGTGTTTGCCGAAATGAGCGGCGGGACCGCATGCGTGCTGCGCCACTGGGACCTTCGGTGGAACTCCCGATGGGAAAACGTGTGAATAACGGGCCAAAATGGCTGGCGAAGACGCATGCGAACGGTGCCAGTGAGACCTCCGGCCGCGAAACGTGTGAGAGGTGTGCGGAATCGGGTGGTGCGGACGCATGCGAACGGTGCCACCTGGACCTTCGGTGGAGCTCCCTTGGGGGCCACGGAACGTGTGAGGGGTGTGCCCGAATTGGCGGCGGGGACGCATGCGAACCATGCCATTGGGACCTTCGGTGGTGCTCCCTATGGGACCACGAAGCGTGTGAGGGGTGTGCCGACATGGGTGGTGACGACGCAAGCGAACCGAGCCACCAGGACCTTCGGTTGAGCTCCCTATGGGGCCACGAAGCGTGCTGAAATTATCGCCGAAATGGGTGGCGGCGACGCATGCGACCAGCGTCACTGGGACCGTCGTGGAACTCCCTATGGGGCCACGAAACGTGTGACGGGTATAAGAAAATGATCGATCGCCAAAATGGATGGCGCGGACGCATGCGAAGGGGGCCACTGGGACCTTCAGTGGAACTCCCTGTGGGGCCACGAAACGTTCGCTGGGGGCGCCGAAGTGGTCGGCAGAGACGCATGCGAACGGCGCCACTGGGACCTTCAATGGAGCCCCCTAGGGGGCCACGAAACGTGCGAGGGGTGTACCGAACTGGGTGGCGGGAACGCAGGCGAACGGGGCCACTGGGACCTTCTGTGGAGCTCCCTAGGGGGCCACGGAATGTGTGAGGGGTGTGCCGAAATTGGCGGCGGGGACGCATGCGAACCATGCCATTGGGACCTTCGGTGGCGCTCCCTATGGGGCCACGAAAAATGTGAGGGTGTGCCGAAGCGGTTGACATGCGGAGGCCAAAGGCAAGGATGATAGGAGGGAGGAGGGAGCGGGAGGAGGTGGGAGGGACGCGGGTCGCTCTCTTTTCCGACGAGGACCCAAACACCACAGGATAGTTGGCACAAGAATTGGAGCGGCCTGTTTCTGGCCGTTCTCGGCCTCCGGGGGCAACGGCCCCTGGATTGTTCGAAGAAGACTCGGGACGAAAAGGCGGCCCTGGGGAGGAGGTGGGGACTTCTGGGGGGTCGCGCAGCCAACAAAAACGAGCGCGAAATGTCCAGGGAGGAAGAAAAGCCAGCACAAAGCACGAACAGAACGAACAGAACCCCCCTGGTGCGCGGAGCGCCGCTCGGAGGGGCCCCGCGCCGATCCGAGAAGCTCGCCTGGCGCTGCGAAGGCCGGTGTCCATGCCGCGGACACCTGCTCGAAGAGCGAGAGGCCTCCGTCTGCCCTCGAGCTCCTGGAAGCTTGGGGCACTCCGCTCGCCCGGCTCTCGATGCTATAAGAAGCAAGGAAACCCGATGAAAGACCACCGAAGCGGATGCCCGAAGACGCGGGATGGAACGGAATCGAGCGGCGCCGATGGTGGATCTGACCTCCCTGGAGTCGCATCATTAAGCACGGATCCTTCACTGAAGCCCCTCGGCGTTTTGGCTCCCGGACACCTCCCGATGGAGGCACTGCTGCTACTTCCCCCTCCTCGCCCTCCTCCTCCTCCTCCTCCTCCTCCTCCTCCTCCTGCTCCTCCTCCTGCTCCTGCTCCTGCTCCTGCTCCTGCTCCTCCTCCTCCTCCTCCTGCTCCGCATGCTCCTCCCCCCTCCTCCCCCTCCTCCTCCTCCTCCTCCTCCTCCTCCGCCTGCTCATCCTCCTCCTCCTTCTCCCCCTCCTCCTCCTCCTCCTCCTCCTCCTCCTCCTCCTCCTGGCCTCGCTCCGCCTCCGTCTCTCCCCGGGGGCGAGCTCGAGGGCGGCGGGGCGGGCAGGCGGCGGGAGCACTGCGCGGAGGCAGAGGCCTCGCGGCGACACGAAGGGGTGCGGCGAGGCCAGGACGAGGACATCTTCGGGCGGGGATGCATCGAGCAGTAGGGGAACGAACTCTCTATATATATATATATATATATTAGGGGGCAAGCAAACCTACCTCGTTTTTGACCACCCTCGCTTCCAAGAGATCCCAAGCGATGCCAAACTACGGCCTGTACTGATCAGACCGCTTGACGAGGAGGCGCGTGGTATGACTTGGTTTTGCCCGGAAGCGAAAGCGGGGTAGGTAATTCCAGGACGAGGACAGCTTCTGGCGGAGATGCATCGAACGAGCGAACGAGTCAGCCATCGCCCGGGGGGGCGACCCTAGCTAGGGCGGCAGGCGCGCCAAACGCGCTGGCCTCCAGGAAGGGCGGGCTGCGGGAGGCATGTGAAGCTTCGGAAAACAGAAACGGATCAGCGCCACATGCGGTTTGCGTATTCATCTTTACACTTGCGCCATAAGATGCACCGAGAATTAGGGAAACGAACTCTCTCTCTCTCTCTCTCTCTCTCTCACAATATATATATATATATATATATATATATACATATATGCGCACACACACACACACACCGACGCTTGTACCGACCCTGCGCTGAAATTCGCACAGGAAACGCGGATTCTGGTGTACACGGGATCCTGGTGTATGCATGTTTCGATGTTTCTCTTGGACAGCGGGGGAAAGGTATACACCACACCACCCCGACGTCGTCCTGGATCCTCGAAATATCGTGGGATTGAAAAAACAACCCGCCACTGGTAATAAATATGCTCCAGTTTGCGAAGAATCTCTGAGATCTGGTGGCTCTGGAGGATCTCGGGCGTCGCGACCTCCTCAGACCGTTCTGGAACGCTCTTCCAGCGCTCTGGAGCGCCCTGGAACGGGCTCCTCCTCGTCCCAGCCCCGTCCGCCACGCGCCATCGCTCGGACGTCCATTCCCCGTGCACTTGTCAGTTTCGTGCGTACATTCTTGTCGCAAGATGGTCAAGGTGCTCTTCGATGGTCCTCGCCGAGCGAAAACCGCATACGTCCGAGCGACGCCAAGGTGACCAAGCCCTCCACGTCCCCTCCGCAGGTGTACGTGTCGGTGAGCACGGCCAGACACTTGAAGCACCACCTGGTGTTGCAGTTCCGGCAGAGCATCTTGTGGCACTCGACACGCTGCTGAGACTGCTTCTCCAGATTTTCCTGAGAGGAGGAGGAGGAGGAGGAGGAGGAAAATTTCCATCTCAAGTCTCACACCCACTCCTGCGTCAGATGGGCGATCGACGTTTCATATACCCCTGTTCGGACCCGGACCCTGTGGGAGAGGGCGGAGTGTGGGCGTGGATAGCACGCCATGCCTCCGGACGCCAAGATGTTATCCCTGCCCTTCCAGTCCTGGTGGCCATTGGGCGGCAGCAGCAGGGGTATGGATCGAACGTCGATCCCCGATCAGATAGCGACCTCGCTTCGCACACTTAAGGCAGTAGGGCGCCGCGTCAGCCGGGCTCGGTGGTGTTGGCCCTTCCTGGCTAGCAGAGCCATTGTCCTCTCTCCGAGATTCCAACTCCGATGACGATGGGACGTAGAAGGACATACAAGTGGTACCCATCGATCGGAAGTAGGTAGAACCACGTTGCAGTATATCGGGTGTCCGCCCGCCCCCTAAAGAGGACGGAAAAGGTGAAGCCACTCGATAACTAGGGAGTAGGAGGGCGCCTAAAGTAGATTGGAATCTGGGATTCCGAAAATACCAACCTTCAACGACTGACGGGCACGACCATCTCACAGCACATCGATGCCCAGGCGGCGCGGCCAGGAAGCACGCGCCACCGAGCATGTGCGCAAGATGGCTGAGCAAGCGCGCCGCCCCTGGGAGGCCGACGCACACACACAGCACTCGCCATCGCTCGGACGCCCATTTCCCGTGCATTTTTCGGTTTCGCGCGTGTCCTTTGCTGCTCGCTGGTCCGGGATGGTCCTGGATGGTCCTCGCCGAGAAAAAAATGCACACGTCCGAGCGATGCCAGGAGCACAAGCCACGCGGGGGTGATGCGGGCGAGGCGGGCCCAGCGCGGAGGAGCCACATCGACGGCACGCCACGGGGGGGGGGGGGGCGAAGCGAGAGGGGCCAGGCCTTCTCGGAGGGCGGCGAGGGCTTCTCGGAGGCCCCTCCGGCCGCTCGAGCAGCCCCCTCTCCGGCCTCGGCGAGGAGGCCTCGGCGCTCCCCTCGGAGGGCCAGCGGCCTCCGGGAGACCCTCCGGACAGGCCCTCCACCCTCTGCCCTCCACCCTGGGAGCGCCGCCGAGCCACAGCCTGGAGTGCCGGCCTCCGTCGCACCCACCTTCGGTGGCGACTCGTGGGAGCCTCCCGTGCCGTCTTGTCGGCCCTTGCGAATCGACGCTGAGTCGACGCCGAATCGAAGCGAATCGACGCCAGGGACACAATCGCGAGGACTCACATCGAATCGCAGCGAATCGACGCCGAATCGAAGCGAATCGACGCCGAATCGAAGCTAAATCGACGCTAAATCGACGCCAAGGGCTCCCACGACTTGCCACCGAACCAGCCTGCCGATGGCAGGCACTCCGCAGAGCCCACGCCCGCCCGGTGCTCGTGTTGCCGCGCGCGGTGCCCGGCTCTGCGCACGCCCAGGCACAGCTCCGCAGCAGCGCAGGCCTTAGTGGGCCCTGGAAACGACAAGGCCGGTTTTTTACCGGTTCCGTTTTGCCGTTTTTGTTGCTGGATCCGACGCCGTTGTTTTACCGTTGTTTGTAATTGTTTTGCTGTTTTTTCACCAGTTCTGTGGCCGTTTTATGACCGGTGCCGGCTCCGGTTCCAATCCTAGAGCCGTTTTGTTGACGTTTCCGGTCGCCTTTTTTTTTGCCGTTTCCATTTTCAAGGGACATGTTTTTGAAAACGGTGAGAAAACGGCCCTGCCGTTTCTGGGGCCCACAAAGGCGCAGGCGTCTCGAACATGCCGTGCCAGTGTGCACTCGTGGACGACCTGGCATTGCCAGCTGCACGGGCAACGCTCGCTCCCAAGAACACCCGCAGATCACATACACCACCAGCTCCCAAGGGAGCCCCAAGACAAGCTCCAGAACGTCAGCGTCGTCGTCGTCGCCGCCGCCGCCACCGCCGCCGCCGTCGTCGTCGCCGTCTCCCTTCCGGGTCGGCGGCACCGGCCGCTAGGCCTTCCCAATCGCATGCATCACCAGCTTTCAAACACCAGGCCCTTGACCACCTCACATCCCACAGCATGGCTTCATGCGAGCAACTGTACAATGTACGCATCTCTTGCCCCGCGCTATACTACCCACACGAAGGCTCTGCTTCACCTCTTCCTTCTGAGCAGCCCGAGAGAGGCCGTCCTTGGTTGTCACCATGTGACCTTGGTGACGTCGAGTCGCGTGGAGACTCGCATGGCGGTGCGACCCCTGAAGACAGCATGAACACGACGTACACTCAGCATAACAAGCATGGTTCGGTTGATGTGGATATTGGGGGTCCGTTGTCTTGACGCTTCTCCACAAGTTGCCGACACTTTGCAGCTGCACTTGTTCCTAACTTGATTCACACTTGCCTCCCGTGGGTCCAACACCTAGCGTGGACAGCGCAATCAGAGAGCCAGTGTGAACGAATGTTATATATATATATGATGTTCGCGCATTAGTATTGGAACCCACTACAATACAAGTCTCCAATGACGACGCGCAGGTGCCCTGGCTTTTCACCAACTCACCTGGTGAACACACAATTGCAGCGTACCCAGAAGCACGCTTTCCGTCTAGAGCGGCCTACGAGCCTTGCCCTTCACATCGACGCGCTTAATGTACTGTATTCGTGACCGCGACTCACACCGACACGGCATGGCATCGCAAGACACAGACCAATCCGCGAAATCTGACATCACCACCACGACACCCTACATCACATAATCACACTACAATGCAAATCCAAAACAAACCTCCAAACCAAACCATCAACCTGCGTTTGGAAAATTACAGCAGGTACCGATACCTCTACGCCTCAGGACCTCTCCCAGGGAGCCTTCTGGCCAAAACCTCGAGGCGAACCCGGCGGTGGCGACGAGGGCCTCCCAGGAGGCCCAAAAAGATGAAAACGAAGCCAGTGTGGCGGTACCGGTACTTTTTTGCTCACCTGATGTTGCATGGCGCCATCTTGACACACCATCACACCACCACGCCATCGCGCCACTGGACACCGCCAAGGAAACTGCGCACCAGGAGACTCCGCTGGCCCTTGAAGGGGCCCTGGGACACACACACACACATAAATACACACAAATAACAAGATTCCCACTGTGTTCCCGTATTTTCTGAGCTTTTGTCTTCCCCCCCACTTCCCATATCTTCCCATGTTTTCTGGGGAATCGACGATTCATTGTGTCTGTATGTTTTTTCCCCTCCTGAGCCCCGTCGGCGCGCGTGCGGAGAAGTCCTGGGGCGGCCGTCCCGGGGCGGCCCTCCCTGGAGACGCTTTTTTCCATGCGACAGGGAAGCAGACCATGACACACAGTCGAGGCGTTGACCTAAGGAACCCTAAATGAGGAACGAGGCCCCTATTTTCCACAAGTTAAACTTCGATTTCCGATCGAAAACATAAGGAAAGCCTGAGGCAAGCTGTGAAACAATCAAGGAACACAGAGCCCCTCACCAACGAAAAGGGTTCCTTCTTTAGCGCCCCGACTGTACAGCGGAGACCCATGCCAAGAAACACCATGCTTGCCTCCAGGGTGCCCTGTGTTTCTTGGGTTTCGATGGTTTTGCGATGGAGAGCGTGAAGTTCCCACACCAAAGATCGATGAACGTCCTGGGGTCTCAGGGCTGGGTTTCTTGAGGAAGGTTTCTTCTGGACTGGCCTCCACTGTAGGCATAAAAACTCGGAGGTCCATAGCGCTGGATCCCCCTCCCTGGCAAGCGGAGCGCGCCAGGGGCGGCGCCGGAGGCGCCGCCAGGGGGTCCCAGCGCCGATCTGAGAAATCCGCGCGGACCTCAAAGTTTTTCTGTTCATGTCATTCGAACGCGCTCAAGCCCGAGTCAAGGGGTCAAGGGGGTAGGCTGAGCAGGTGAAAATGGTTGGTCTGCGGCGAGTTGGGTCGAACAAGCGGTCAGGCTAATGGCGGGGTTCGTCCGCAGCTAATTATGACGAAAGCCAAGGAAGGGCAATTAGGGAGAAGGAGGCGGCGGTGGAACGGCCATCGTGCTCTCAGACCATGTGAATATTTAAGCGGCGCCTGCGGTAAAACTCATGATTAATCTCGACGATGGCGTAATAGAAGATCGAAGAACATGCCAGAAAATGGCAGGTAATGGACACGTCCGTCGACGCGCAATACGCGAAGCAACACGTTATGTCTACACCCTCTGCATAGAACTAAGCGCGCGACATGTCGGGCACTGCTTCGAGCCCGTCTTCTCGATCCACCTCTCAAACATGTCCTGGTCCTCGAGCCCAGCCTTGTACTGCTCGCAAGTGCGCCCCTGACAGAGGGGACGGCGTCGGCATCTCACAAAGGCACAGAGCAGGTGCGCATGGCATGTCGACCGAGCCATCGATGCTGTGATGATCTCGAAAAGGCAGCACCTGTCGTAACAGGGTGCGAAGGGGTCGGTCCTCGGGTAATGTTGCTGCCCCACGCCCCCGATGGCCGAGGACGGTCAATCCGAGGCGACGCGGGCGCGTCGGCGCGTCTACGGCGGAGCCGAGGACACGACGAGCTGCTGCACATCAGAGAGCTTCCCGAGAGACTTCTTGCACGCGGCGCCCCCCGTGTGCCGGGCGAAGGGGGGGGTCCAGCGCCGACCCACAAAATCCGCGAGAACCTCCGAGAGCCAATACCTGTGCAATGCTGTCTAGGATCGGCCACAACACTGTTGAGCACGAACTAGCGCTTGAAACGAAAAACGAATCCAAGCTCATCGTTTAAAACAAAACTGTTCCAACGAACCGGTCCCAAACCAAACGAATGACGAAACCAGGTGTTTGACACAAAAACGTAAAACGAAACACACACACACACAACCCAGAAACGAAGCGAAATTCATAGCACAGGCCCAAGCCAAGCAAAAAACAACGTTGCGGTTGGTCCTTCTCTTGTGCTCTTCGCTTCATGGTGTGTGTGTGTGTGTGCGCAAGGAGGGAGCCGCGATGGTCTGGGACGCAGACCGTTCGAGGGACAGCGACTGCTGGCGCGCGCGAGTCAGATCTGGCGTTCGCTCTCGGGGGGGAATAAACGGGGGGTGAAGCCTCGCCATCGCTTGGACGTCCATTCCCTGTGCATTTGTCGTTTTTTGCGCGTTTTTCTCGCAACGTGAACAAAAATGCTCCTCGGTGGCCCTTGCCGATAAAAAATGCACAGCACACGTCCGAGCGATGCCAAGAAGCAGCGTGCACCTCGCCAGCACCTTTTGGGCCCGCGGCGGCAGTCTGTGGGCCGCGTCGGGCCCCATGCAGGGCCGCACTCCTGCGATCCTCGACCCCTCCCCGTGTCTTGCCCCCCCCCCGCTGCCGAGCGCCCGGTCAGACACCTCGAGCAGCGAGCGGCGACGACGTCCAGAAACCGGGCCCGGAGTCCGTTCTGCTGATCATCGGCCAAGGCGCTGCTGCACGACGATCGCCCCTGGGCATGTCCAAACCGCCGTGCTGCATCAGTGCATGCGGGGGGGTGCGGCGGGCCGACGGGACGAGGGCGTCGGCGCCGGCCTCTGAAGCCGCGTGGATCGTGCAACCCTGAACGATCAACCAGAACCGAATCGGGAACTCGGACACAATTGGAAGAGGCGTCAAGTCGGGCCGCATCGGCACGGAGTCGAAGTCGAATAATCGCATCGGCCGCGCCACGATGCACGACAGCACCATGAAAGCATCGGGCCGCACTGGATCGACGTGATACCGAAATCGAATCGGGCCGGATCGGGCCAGTCGAAAACGAGATCGCAAAAAAGACGCTCGGATCGAAATGAACCCTGGTAAACGGGATACCAAAGAGTACCGATACCGCTACTTCCTGGACCTCTCTCAGCGTGCGTTCTGACCAGAATTTCTAAGCGAATTCAGCGGAGGCGACGAGGGCCCCCCCCAGGAGGCTCCAAAAGGACAAAACGGGCGAAGGGTAGAGGAGGGAAGGGTACCGTTTCCTCCTCTGAGGTAGGGTCGATCTCAACCGGATCTGGGCCACTGGCGGCGTCCCAGCCTGGAGCGCCTGCGCTGGCGTCGCCGCCGCGGCCTTGAATTGCATCTTCGGGGGATATTGTCTGTCCCGTCGCGCCGATATCCGCGTCGAATCCGTGCCGGATCCGTGCCGAATCCACATCGCACTCGCCGAATCCGCGTCGAATCCCGTCAAATCCCCGTCGAATCCACGCCACCTCCGCGCTGGGTCCGCACCGAACCCGCGTAGGGCACAAGAGAGGACACCACTTTGTAAAATTACGCTGCCGAGGAACCCCACATACTTATATTATGGCTGGAGTGATGATAGCTGAAGTGAAGCATGTAAGAATGATGTTGGTGGCCGTTGCCACCCCCTGCGCACCCCCTATTTTGTCCAGAAAGTGCCACGCCTGCTATGCCCTGGACGACCGTCGTGCATAGCGGCCGCGGTGAGGGACCACCCCCTGCGCACCCCCTATGGTGTCGAGAAAGTGCCACCCTGCTATGCCCTGGACGACCGTCGTGCATAGCGGCCGCGGTGAGGGACCACCCCCTGCGCACCCCCTATGGCAATCGAGAAAGTGCCACGCCTACTATGCCCTGGACGACCGTCTCGGATAGCGGCCGCGCTCAGGGACCACCCCCTGCGCACCCCCTATGGAATCGAGAAAGTGCCACGCCTACTATGCCCTGGACGACCGTCTCGGATAGCGGCCGCGCTCAGGGACCACCCCCTGCGCACCCCCTATGGTGTCGAGAAAGTGCCACGCCTGCTATGCCCTGGACGACCGTCTCGGATAGCGGCCGCGCTCAGGGACCACCCCCTGCGCACCCCCTAAGTGTCGAGAAAGTGCCACGCCTGCTCTGCCCTGGACGACCGGCGCGGATAGGGGGACCACCCCGTGCGCACCCCCTATGGTATCGAGAAACTGCCACGCCTGCTACGGCCTGGACGACCGGCGCGGATAGGGGGACCACCCCCTGCGCACCCCCTATGGTGTCGAGAAACTGCCACGCCTGCTACGGCCTGGACGACCGGCGCGGATAGGGGGACCACCCCGTGCGCACCCACTATGGCGTCGAGAAACTGCCACGCCTGCTACGGCCTGGACGACCGCGCGGAAAGGGGGACCACCCCCTGCGCACCCCCTATGGTGTCGAGAAAGTGCCACGCCTGCTACGGCCTGGACGACCGGCGCGGATAGGGGGACCACCCCCTGCGCACCCCCTATGGTGTCGAGAAACTGCCACGCCTGCTACGGCCTGGACGACCGGCGCGGATAGGGGGACCACCCCGTGCGCACCCCTATGGCGTCGAGAAACTGCCACGCCTGCTACGGCCTGGACGACCGGCGCGGATAGGGGGACCACCCCGTGCGCACCCACTATGGCGTCGAGAAACTGCCACGCCTGCTACGGCCTGGACGACCGGCGCGGATAGGGGGACCACCCCGTGCGCACCCCCTATGGTGTCGAGAAACTGCCACGCCTGCTACGGCCTGGACGACCGGCGCGGATAGGGGGACCACCCCGTGCGCACCCACTATGTGCTACGGCCCGGACACCGGCCGGGACCACACCCTGCGCACCCCCTAGGTTCGAGAAACTGCCACGACGACGGCCTGGACGGACCGCGGGCAAGGGGGACCACCCCGTGCGCACCACCCCTACGCTGTCCGAGAAACTGCCCGCCTGCAACGGCCTTCCGGCGCGGAAAGGGGGACCACCCCCTGCGCACCCCCTGTGGCGAGAAAGTGCCACGCCTGCTACGGCCTGGACGACCGGCGCGGAAGGGGGACCACCCCCTGCGCACCCCCTATGGTGTCGAGAAACTGCCACGCCTGCTACGGCCTGGACGACCGGCGCGGATAGGGGGACCACCCCTTGCGCACCCACTATGGCGTCGAGGAACTGCCACGCCTGCTACGGCCTGGACGACCGCGCGGAAAGGAGGACCACACCCGTGCGCACCCCCTGTGTATCGAGAAACTGCCACGCCTGCTACGGCCTGACACCGCGCGGAAGGGGACCACCCCGACCGCACTACGCGCCGCGATGGCCAGGGGCCTGGACGACCGGCGCGGAAGGGGGACCACCCCCTGCGCACCCCCTATGGTGTCGAGAAAGTGCCACGCCTGCTACGGCCTGGACGACGGCGCGGATAGGGGGACCACCCCGTGCGCACCCACTACGGCGTCGAGAAACTGCCACGCCTGCTGCGGCCTGGACGACCGGCGCGGATAGGGGGACCACCCCCTGCGCACCCCCTATGGTATCGAGAAAGTGCCACGCCTGCTACGGCCTGGACGACCGGCGCGGATAGCCACCACCCCCTGCGCACCCCCTATGGTGTCGAGAATCTGCCACGCCTGCTACGCCTGACGACCGGCCGGATAGGGGGACCACCCCGTGGCGGTGGGTGTCGAAAACTGCCACGCCTGCTACGGCCTGGACGACCGGCGCGGATAAGGGGACCACCCCTGCGCACCCCCTATGGTGTCGAGAAAGTGCCACGCCTGCTATGCCCTGGACGACCGGCGCGGATAGGGGACCACCCCCTGCGCACCCCCTACGGTGTCGAGAAAGTGTGCCCTGCGCGCTAGCCCTGCGTGCTCTGCTGTGCTGAGCTGTGCTGCGCTGTGCCAAGCTGAGCTGTGCTGTGCTGTGCTGTGCTGTGCTGAACTGAGCTGAGCTGAGGTGTGCTGTGCTGTGCTGAGCTGAGCTGAGCTGTCCTGAGCTGTGCTGAGCAGTGCTGTGCTGTGCTGTGCTGTACTGTGCTTGTGCTGTGCTGAGCTGAGCTGAGCTGTGCTGTGCTGTGCTGTGCTGTGATGTGCTGTGCTGTGCTGTACGAAGAGTGAGGTGTGTGTCGCGGGTGCGGCGCGGCAGGGAAGAAAACCAGAACCCCACTAAGCATGTGGGGAATAAAAATGTATATATGACAGTGAAGGGGCTGAACCGAACGGTCATTCACTGTCCCTGGGTGCGTGGCTGAAGCGGAATTCCGCGATGCGGATTCTTGTTGTTGTTTGTTGTTTGTTGTTCGTTGTTGTCGTCGTCCCACCCGCGACCCCACCCGCGACCCACCCGCGACCAACCCCGCGACCCAACCGCGACCCACCCGAGACCCACCCCGCGACCCACCCGCGACCCATCCCGCGACCCACCCGCGACCCACCTGCGACCCACCCGCGACCCGCCCCGCGCCCCGCCCGCGACCCACCCCGAGACCCACCCGGCGACCCACCCGCGACCCACCGGCGACACACCCGCGACCCACCCGCGACCCACCCCGCAACCCACCCGCGACCCACCCGCGACCCACCCACGA